TCGGGGCCGACCGACGTGGCGAACAAAGATTTTTCACATCTGATATTGGCATGTCAAATATGAAATCAAGCGCCGAGGTGAGAACACATAGCGCCGAGGTCCCAAGTGAAGCGCCGAGATTCACAGGTATAGCGCCGCGGACCTCGGCGCTAAAAAGCCCTGGGGAGAACCCTGGATCTACATGTATATAGCTCCATGGTACATGTATATGCTAATGTAGCTAATGAAGAGTGCTAACACAGAATAGTTGAACAAGCCGAATTCTTGAACATTAATTAAATCACACTTGAGTAACCAGGTAATTTCAAAATCGTATAGAAATATTGTTTTTATAATCATGGTGTTACAAATCGTGGTCTTCCTCAAGTCCCAAATCGTGCACAGCTTTAGCGATTGCAAGAAGAATATTTTTTTTATAGTTGGACGATGAAACGCTGAATTTACTCAGGAAATTTAACGCGTGGCACTTGACACACCAACGATTTAGCACCATTTTAATCATGACTAGCAGGTAGTTGCTAGGCAAACTTAAGACAGCAAGATCTCGCACGAAGTGGAAAATAGGTTATTGTATATGACCTTTCTCCATGACTATTGATGCATGTAAGAGGGGCATATACAATTAAATTGGGGAGTACTAGATGGTTCAAAACTTTCCGGCATGGTTACAATACATGCTTAGTAACCAGTTGAGAACAACCCATTATTCCAAATTTCCCTGTCACTCGTTTTTCTCTGTCACTGTAATTTAATTGGTCTTCATTGCAACAATTATTTTGTTTGTGTATTACAGTAAAATTAAATGGTGGGAGACAAGTGACTGGTGTGCTCCGAGGGTATGATCCATTCATGAATCTTGTAATGGATGAATCAGTTGAAGAGATATCAGGTGGTGAGAAACATCAAATTGGGATGGTGGTGAGTCGCGATAACATCCTACATTGTCATATATCAAGGCTGGCCTTAAAACACTCAAATTACGAAATTCAGATTAAGGGTGTACCATATTTGCTCTCTTAGAAGTACTTGTACAGATGAACAACTTGTAGACCCAAGTCGATTCAACAAGTTGATAATCCTTGTTCGTTTATTAGCTAGTGGTTCATTTTTTGTTTGTATATTTTGTCATTTCATGGACGGAAATTCTTACACGTATGCAATTTATTATTATTCATAGTCGCTGTCCTTTTTGGGTCTACATGGGCCTTTGAAACTAATCTTTATTTTGACCATTGACATGCACATTATTTACCCTGTGCTCTAATACTACCAGTAACAAAGCAAATATGGTACTTTGTGTTCAGTGTTCTCCCCAGGCCTTTCAAGCACTGCGGGCCCGCGTCGCTTAGACAAACAGCCGCGTCGCTTTTGTTTCGCCCGCGATCCTTGAAATCCTGCCCGCGAT